TCCCTTGGAAATGGCCCCCCCTTAGCATTTTGCCTCCATTTCAGTCTCCCTGGGGAGATGCTGCCCTGTATCCAGCCTTGGTCATTCCTCCCTCCTGTAGGATTCCATCCCTCCTTCCCCATATCCCTCATCCCTGCCGATGGGCTGCAGGTGGAGTGGGGAGCCCTGAGTGGCCCCATGTCACCAGGGCTGCGAGCTGCAACCTCCTCTCTCCCACTCGTCGCAGCTCAGCATCCACCTTGGGAATGGGGAATTGTCATGGCTTCTCATGAAGAAGGGATGTAGGAGTTTGCTCAGGAAAGGCTTAGGAAAAGGCTGGGCGGGATGTGGGGCTGCTGGATTTGGGATTCCTGGCTGTGCCTGGGTTAACTCCCCACACACGGGTGTAACACAGGGTTTGCAATGACCAGTTTCCCTCCTGGGGCATCTGCTGGATTTGGGATTCCTGGCTGTGCCTGGGTTAACTCCCCACACACGGGTGTAACACAGGGTTTGCAATGACCAGTCTCCCTCCTGGGGCATCTCCTGGTCACGGGGGGATAAATTAAATCTCCTGTCCTTGCTGCTTCATGGGTGCTGCTGCCTCACCAGCTGTGGAGATGGAGCTGCCATGCCAGGGAAGGGGACACAGTGGCATGAGACCTCCTCTGCCCTTTGGTCATCTCATGGTGCTGTCACAGCACTGGGTTCCAGAGAATCCCAGAATGGGTTGGGTTGGAAGGGACCTTAAGGACCATCTTGTTCCAACCCCCTGCCATGGGCAGGGCCACCTTCCACTATCCCAGGTTGCTCCAAGCCCTATCCAACATGGCTTTGAACGCTTCCAGGGATGGGGCATGCACACCTTCTCTGTGCCAGGGCCTCCCTACCCTCACAGGGAAGAATTCCTTCTTTAACTGGCTTCCATCCCCTTCCCTCCCATAGTCTGAGTTCTGCCCATTCCCTGCTGCTGCCTCCAGACAGGGACGGTGAGGGATGTCCACCAGGAGGGATGAGATGGGGACTGAGGCCTGGGGCTGTGGTGGCACAGAGATGCTCCAGGAAGCTCTGCCCTTCTCTCATAAAAGTCCTTTATTAGAACAGCAAACATGACACTTCTCGTCAGTACAGCGGCTGAGTGCAGCTACCATCGCGGCACGGGGGGACGACGTCTTACAATCACTGGGGGTCTAATAAGCACCATGAACATCCTAAAGAACGGGGGGAGAACGGCTGGAGAGGAGCCCCGGGTGAGCCGGCCACGGGGGCTCCTCAGGGATTCACCAAGGAGCTGCTCGGCGTTGTCCCGCAACACGGCTCTCCTGCAGCTGGGAGAAACTCCCTGGTGTGAGTCAACGAGATAGCACCCATCCAATAAATTAGGAAAACTTAATGCCAGAGCAACGAGGGAACGAATGGGACCGTCCTAGAGGAGGGCACACTGGTAGGGAATGGGCTATTTACACTTGTCTTTCTGCTGGGCCGGGATTCCCGTCGCATCCCAGCTGGCCCTGGAGGAAAGAGCTGTGGCTCTGTGGCCAGGCTGGGAACAGCCAGCCAGGCTGGGAACACTGGCACCTGCTGGGCAGTGATCCCACTGCCTGTCCTGGTGCCACCAGCCATGCCGGGAGCCGGCGAGGGACCGGAAAGCGAAGCGTGGGGACATGAGCATGCAGGTGCCCTCGGCTCGGGAATGGGGGCTGGCACCGGGCACGGCACCCACGACCTCCCGGTCCTCTCCTGCCTCTGAATTACCAGAAAGTCAAGTAGGGAGTGGAGGCTGCCGGGAACTGCTGCCGGCAGCAGGCGCAGGCAGGGCAGCGGGCGCGTATTCCTGAGTGCGTGGCAGGGCTGTGGCCACTCTCCTTCCTCCCCATCCCATCCCAACCCCATCCCCGGGCTCCCCGTCAGCCCCTCACTGCAGAATGGATTCTCCGGTGATCGGAAGGAAGGACACTATCAGTTCAATTTAAGGCTAGGCTTTATATGGCAACTATAAAAAAATAAACACTAATCTCCAGAGAGCCGGGTGAGGGCTCTCCGGCCTATGGCTGTGGCGTGTGTGCTGGCACTGGGGTGTGGGGAGCCAGGGAAGAAACCTCCCTGTGGGTGCTTGGCGTCGACCCGAGGGCCTGCCAGCACCTGGAGCACCCGGGAATAGGGTGGCCACCCCTGCCCCACCGCTGCGCCCCAGGGGAACACGGGACAGAGTCGGGCGTTTTGGTAAGGACATGGAGACTGACTGGTAATCCAGGACCCACCTCTACACGTGACCGAGGGTGCTCTGCAAGAAAGGCCACAGGGGAAAGAAATATCCTGCAAAGTAACCGGGCTGGCAGGGGCGGAAGCTTTCCCGTGGTGGGGGTCCCTCTGTCCGGCCCCACGGAGCGGGGGGAGAGCGCTCTGCGGAACGAGACGGGACTGCCCCCCACCCAAAAACCCCAACTGAAATCAGTGAAACCAAACCTAAAAGCGGACACAGGAGAACAGCTCAGGCTACCTAAGTACTTCATCAGCCAGGAAGAGCTAAAGAGCGAAGCGCACACACACAGGACAGCGCGGAGGCCGGAGAGCGGAGACGGCCGAGAGCCGGGGCTTCCTTCCCGCTTTCCCTCCCCGTCTCCGGCCAGAGGCCGAGCAGGGATCTGGCAGCTGAGCAGGGCCCCGGTAGCTGAGCAGGGCCCCAGCGGCTGCGTGGTCAGCCTTGTCCTGCAGGAGGGAACAGGCTGGCTCCTCTCACCCCGAGAAGAGGCAGCCGGCTCCGGGAGCATCCTCACGGCATGGCCGAGCGCGAAGCGTAGAATTCGGGGACCGGCAGCCCGGTGTGCAGAGTCACCTGCAACGAGAGACATGTGGCTCAGCTGGGTCCCACCGTGCCTGGTGGGACAGCTCATGGGATGGCAGCAGGCATATCATCCCCGGGGAGGGCGGGGGCAGCACGCAGGGAAAGGCAGGATGTGGCCGGAGATGTGGGGAGCTCCTCCCGTCCCTCCGCACATCCTCTCTGCTGCAGGATGGGCTGGGGGTGTCCCCAAAACTGTGGTGGTGGCTTGTTCCTGACTTGCATGTGCTGCTGGAGCCCCCGTTGAACTGGGGCTGCTGGTACCAGGGGCCCCACACCCCAAATATTCCCAGTATTGTGACAGTTGGCTGCCAGAGAGGTGAGAGATGGCAGGAGCTGGGTCTTTGTGCAGATGGGATGGACAAGGGGGATGGAGGGGCCTGAAGGACAGCAAAGCCATTATGGGAGACCTTGGAGAAGCCCCTGAGCTGAGGGGGGATGGAGACAGTGGAGGAAACAGGGATAGTGGAGGGAATGGGGACAGTGGAGGAGATGAGGACAGAGGAGGGGATGCTGGTGGGAGAAAGGACCTTTGTGGTGGGGAAGCTGAGCAGTATCAGGGTGATGGGGCAGGGTGGAGGGGGATGCTGAAGTGAAGACTTTAATGGTCCCTCCCAACTCAAGCCGTCCTGGTTCCATGAAAATGGAAGTTAGGCACTTGTCTGGGCTTCATCCAGGGATGGGGAGGGATGCAGCAGAGACTGCAACGCTGGACAAAGGGAGAGGGAAGGAAGTAGTGGAGACCTGAGGTTCACTGGTCAGGGAAAAATCCTGGTCCATCAGGGATCCAGGCAGGCTCCGTGTGTATGGACTGACTGGGCAGGGGGCTGGGCCCTGGAAGTGCTCACACACACCAATGAGCAGCACAGGGGGAATTCAGTTCCCTCCACAAATGTCTTGATTTGGGAGGAAAGCACAATTCCTCCTTTTATTGCAGCAGCAGCATTTTGCCCTTCAGGTACAGATTTACAGAAAACTTTGTCTAAAATACAATGACTTTCTTCCTAATTAGAGTTGTTTTTAATTAGTCATACACCTCTGGAGAAGGATAATGAATGACTTGGGTTTACTGGCAGTCTTTTATCAGCATCCCATGGGATTTCTCTGTTGTCAGGGGATTTAAGCTCTGCCTTGCCCAGAGAACCCACAAAGCTGAGGGGCTCCAGAAATGCCTTGTCCCTTATGGCTGGGTAGAGGACTGAGGTAGGAATTAAACCCATCACACAGCAGGACATTTTTTACCACACCAAATTAATACAGTACCTCTAAAACCAGACAAGATGGGCTTCTCTGAAGTTTCCTAATTAAACATTTGTCAGCCCTTCTCCAAGCCAGGCAGAGTCCCTTGCCTGCAAGGCCCTTGGAGTGGGACACTGTGGCAGGGATGCTCCCAGGGTTTGGGATGGTTGTGACCCACCTCTGCCTCAGTGCTGCTGGAAAACTGTCACTGCCTTGGTGACAGCACAGTAAACCCTGTATCCTGATGGATATAATAGAGCAAGTCCTAATCCATGGATCCCTAGTTTGCAGAGGCCACTTGGTGCCTCTGCCCTTGCACAGAAGTGTTCATAGAATCTCAGAATGGTTTGAGATGGAAGGGATATTAAAGATCATCCAGTTCCAACTCCTGCCATGGGCAGGGAGACCTTCCACTAGCCCAGGTCGCTCCAAGCCCTGATCAACCTGGCCTGGAACACTTCCAGGGATCCAGGGGCAGCCACAGCTCCTGTGCCAGGGCCCCACCACCCTCCCAGCCAAGAATTTCTTCCCAATATCCCATTTAACTCTGCCCTCTTTCAGTGGGAAGCCATTCCTCCTTGTCCTGTCCCTCCAGGCCCTTGTCCAAAGTCCCTCTCCAGCTCTGACATCCACTGTAGAAGACAATGCCAAAATTCCTGACACCCTGAGATCATCCATTACGTGCAACGTGTCCTTGGATGTGCCTGGGCACTTGTGCAGGTTGGAGGTGAGGGCAGTGGTAGGGTGGATGTGCCAAAGCCAGGTTTGGTGAATGTGGAAGACTCCCACGGGGAGATGACAGCAGGGATGTGATCAGTGAGAAGAAAAAATGAAGGATGGAAATACCGGATCGGCCCAGGGAGCCACCGCTTGGTGATGTTCAGGAATGCTGAGAGCTTGGGAGAGAGGGAGAGAAGAGGGGTTTGAAATGCCTCAGGGGGAAATAGGCTTTAAAAGGTGCCCTTCTCCCTGGTGATGGTCTCATCTGGGTGCTGGGAGAGCTGTAAGAGCTGGTGAGGCTCTTGTAGGGTAGTATCACAACACAGTTATCAAACCCCATCAACCAGGAGGGGCTGGAGAATCCTAGTGCTCCAGCAGCCCTGATGGAGAAACCTGGAGCAAGGAGCCAGCAGGAGCTGTGGCTGCAGGAAGGCCTGTCCTGATTTTGAGGACTCACAGATGGTTTAGGGTCTAAGTTTAGCTCCTTCTGAGCTGTCCTTGTTGCACAAGAGCCCTCCTGCTCCCCAAAGTCCCACTGAACTCCCACTGCAGTGGCAGCAGCATGAGGGGGAGAGTGACAGCAAGTCCACCCCTGGGGATGCTGCAGGGAGCCCGTCCAAGCCCGTACCTGCACGTTCCTGTTGAGGCTGACGGCGGGGAAGAAGAGGCCCTCCAGGTTCTCGAAGGCGACGGGCCCTTGCTGGTCCTCGTTGATGGAGAACGTCAAAGTCCTCCTGGTCAGATCCAGCAGCACTCCCACCGTGGCACCTTTCGTTATCCCGCCCTCGGTTCTGTGGGGGAAGAGATCAGGGGTTTAATGCCCCCTGTGCTCCTGGCTCAGGGTTCAGGGCCTGGACCTCAAGGAGTGATGATGCCGAACGTCACCCAGGAGCCACGACCTGCTCCCATCCCAGCCATGCTCATGAATCCCTGGGCACCTCCTCCTCAATCCTCCCTGTTTTGTGATGTCCCCAAGGGCAAAGCGACCCTGAGAGCAGCCACGGCAATGCGGGAAACACATGGAACTGGGGAGCAAAGCTGCAGGGTCCACACCAAAACCTGCTGGTCCACAAGGGAACATCTCTTGAGGCTGCAGGAAGGTGACACCAGGCTCTCCCCAAGCCAAGTCCCCAGTCCTGCAGGGAACACGAGCAGTAGCTGCAGCACAGGGATCAAGGGAAATGTTGTTTTCTTATTGCAGGAGTTGCAAGTTGGGCGTTAACTGGGAAGGGGATGCTACATGGGACAAGTTAGCATGGAAAGAGAAGGGAAGGAATATTGGAGAAAGGCAGCACCAGGCAGGCAGGGACTGTCCCTGCTCAGGGCAAGGGCACATCCTCTCATAGAGGTGACGGGGACTGATGTCTCCCTTCCCACCTGTCGGTACCACTGGCAAAGCCACAGGCTCTTCCTTGGGCTGAGCTTGGGCTGTCGTCTCCCTGGAGGAAAGACCCTGTTCCAAACCACGTACCTGTTGGTGTGGGAGTTGTTGTGCATGAACCAGCTCCTGTTGTTGTCCACGTACATGGCCCAGGCCTTGTCGTCCTTGCCCAGCATGGCATCCTTCAGGACATCGATGCGTGCCACGCCGAAGGCCGGGTCGGGGTGGTTGTCGTACCGATCGATCGACAGCTCCCAGTAATGGAGCCCTTTGGAAAAGCCCGTTTTCCCCAGCACAACCCTGTCATCGTAGCTGTTGCAGGTGACAGTCAGGTTGTCGTTGGAAAAGATGATGTCGGCGTGGGCAGAGGAAGGATCGAAAGAGAACCAAGCCACTGGAACACACAGACAGCGCCGGGTTAGCGTGGCCGGGGCGCGGCCGCCGGAGCCGCGCGGGGCGGACACGGACATGCTGCATGCAGGGAATGACACGGAGCACGCAGGGAGCTGCACGGTGGAGGGGGCTGCTGGCTCACAGAGGGTAACTTCCATCGTGGAGGGGTGCCCTGAGCTCCTCTGGCTGCAGCTGCCAGTGTGGCTGAGGTTTTACGGCCAGGAGGAGTTTTGCTCTTGCTGGTCCATGTCTCCATCCCCTCCCTGTGTCTGTCTCAGCTCATGAGCCTGCAGGATCCTCGAGATCTCCTAAAATTTGGCCCTAGCAGGAGACATGAGATACCAGACAGGTCTCCAGGCTCTATCTAACATAGAATTATGGAATGGTTTGGGTTGGAAGGGACCTTAAAGCCCAGCTCCTTCCAACCCCCCACCATGGGCAGGGACACCTCCC